TCCCTGGGACCTGATTGGCCCCAGCTTCCCTGACTAAGCTTCCTGGTAATTAAGGACATCAAAACTCCCAGCTACAAGGAGTTTGGGCCTCTCAGACTTGGTGGGTGCCTAGACCACCTGAGTCATCATAGTCTGATGACTTACTCACTAGATTACTTTCCATATGGAGAAAAGGGAGGCTACATCCAGAGGATCTAAGTGCTCCTGAGTCCTTGCTGCATGTCTTCAATGTGCTAGGACAAAGTAAACTTCTTTTCATAATGTCCAATGACTTACAAGTGCCTCATTTCATCCTAAAATCGAACCTGAACTAAGACAGCACTGGTGATAAGGCTGCACCACCAACCCAAAGTCACTCGACAAATCTTCTAGTATATGATAGAACAGGGTTAGAAACCCAGGTCTCCCTTGACTTCAAGACCAGCCTTCTTTCCACAACACTGGTTGTTGCTTCTCAGTGATATGGTACAATACTCCAAAGAGGTATCATGTCAACTAAGTGCAGAGGATTATGATGGGTGGTGGAAGGGATACAAAATTTAGGTGAAAAACACTTTCCCTCAAGGGGCTTACAATCTAATGGGGGGGGGGAGGTGTAGGATACTGAATAAACAACAAACATTTATTAAGCATCTACTATGTGCTAGATACTGTGCCAGGAGCCAGGATACACATACAAAGAATGAAACAATCTCAACTTTCCAGGAATTTGCATCCTCATGGAGAAATTAATAAGTATCTATGTAAATATATGAAGAGAATAAATACAACACCAATAGAGCTCGCTATAATACATGCTATAAGATGGGGCTGGATGGTTTTGGCCAACTTTTTCCTACTAGTTTTGGGCACCTATAAAATGTAGCTCAAACACCTTCAGGGAAGTTGCCTTCCTCCTCTTTGACCTGCTCAATACTAAGTCCTCAAATCCTAGTCAGGAAGAAGCTTGTTGACATTTGCCCACATACAATTCAATTCCATTCACTGCAATATTTATTAAATAATCTACTTCATGTAGGGCATTGAGTGAGGGGCTGGGGATACAGTGAGAAAGAAAGAGAGAGAGAGAAAGGAAGAAAGAAAGAAAGAAGGAGGGAGGGAGGAAGAGGGAAATGAGGAAAAAGAGAGGAAGAAGACAGAAGAAAGAGAAACAAGAAGAGAAAGAAAAAGAGAAGAAGCAAGGAAGAAGAAAGAGATGAAGGAAGGAATAAAAAAGAAAGAGAAAAACAAGAAAAGAAAGCAAGAAAGGAAGAAAGAAAGGAAGGAAGAGAGAAATAAGAAGAGAAAGAGAAGGAAGGAAGGAAGGAAAGAAGGAAGCGAGGAACAGAGAAAGAAAGAAAAAGAATGTGACTCCCTGTCCTCAAGGGATTGGGAGAACAGAGTACATATGAAAATAAATACAAAATATATGCAAAGTAAGAGAGAGAGAGAAAGACAGAATCAGATACAGAGACAGAGACAGACAGAGATAGAGCCAGACAAAGAGAGAGGCAGAGAGGCAGAGCACCAACAGGTAGGGGCAGCAGGGACAGTCCCAGGTGTAAGGTAGAACCTGAGCTGTACTTTTGAGAAAAGTTAAAGTCTCTGCCAAGAAGGGTAAGAAGGGGAGGCCCTTCCAACATGGAGAAACAACTTTCAAAACCTCCCAGGCAGAAGACGGAGAATCATATAACAGGAAATTCTAGCAGGCAGCTGGGCTGGAAAGTACTGTAGGGCAGTTCAGTCCTGGACGGCTTTTGTTGATCAACCTGAATCAACCTCAGCTCTCCATGCTGCTGCAGATTGCCAGTAGCAGAACTGTTCCTTCCACACTCTCCCCCATACACTCATTAAAAGGGAGCTGGTGGAGCAGTGGATAAAGTGCTGGGCTTGGAGTCAGCAAGACCTGAATTCATATCTGGTCCTCAGCCAGTAGCTGTGTGACCCTGGACGAGGCATGTAACCTCTGTCTGCCCCAGTTTCCTCATCTGTAAAATGGGGTTAATAATAATACCTTATGCCTCTCAGGATTGTTGTGAGGCTCAAATGAGATCATGTTAGTAAAGTGCCCTGCAAACCTCAAAGCGCTATGTAAATGCTGTCACCATTATTTCTTAAATTCTCTCATACTGAATGCATGATCCTTCCCAGTTCTTTTCTTCACCCATCATCAGTCACTCTCTAACTATAGACAAATAGCTGAGTCTATACCCAGCCAGGTCTCTAACCATTCCACAGTCCAGCCACAGTCCTAGAGCTACTTCCTGACTCCCTGCTAATCTTCAGCCTCCTAGTACAGCTTTGACCACAGGTTCAAAAAGCATGGATGTTTAAGTCATTTTCTTTGTATGATTATGCAACTATGTAGTGCAGTGGATAGAATGGATAGAATGCTGGACCTGGAGTCAGGAAGTGCTGAATTCAATTCCAACCTCCAGACACTTATTATCTGTGTGACCCTGGGCAAGTCGCTTAACTTCTGTTTGCCTCAGTTTCCTCATTTGTAAAATGAGCATAATAATAGCACCTGCCTCCCAGGGTTCTTGTGAGGATCAAATGAGATAATATTTGTAAAGCACTTTGTAAATCTTAATGCATTAAACAAATGCTAGCTATTATTAGGTAATATTACTATTAATTCCAAATCATTTCCCAGAATTGTTGGCCTAATTCACAGCTCCAACAGCAATGCATTAATATGTCTGTCTTTACACAACTACTTCCACATTTACTATTCCCATGTTTTGTTACCTCTGTCAGTTTTTTGTTTGTGACGTGAAACCTGAGGGTTGTTTTGGTTTGCATTTCTCTTATTATTAGTGATTTGGAGCATTCTTTCATTTAGATAACCCATAAAGCATGGAGTGGGGGTTGTTGTCTTTATCTTTATTCCCCGGGGAAGGTTCTTGGAACCATGCTGTCTATTTATTTGGGGGCCTCATTGACAGCTCCAAGTCCTCAATAGGAGAGTGGGTGGAGACTGGCCAAACAACAGAGTCTCAATCAAAAGACACCTGAGAAGCCACCTAGACCCACTTCTACCTGGACAAGAACCATCCTCGACACCATCCCTGAGAAGCGATCATGCAGGATCTAGTGGGTTATGACCCCCATGGAGATCTTGCCTCAAAGCCATTAAGAATTTGGATCTCCTTGGTTTGATGAGGGTAGAAGCACCTTTGGTCTTACCACTTGAAAGATCATAATGAGGAGGAATTAGACTTGGTCTGTTTGGTTCCCAAAGGGCAGGACCAGCAAGATTGAGGGGAAGTTGCCAGAGGCAAAATTAGGCTTGATGCCCAGAAAAATGTGCTAGGTATTAGAACTGTTCAAACGTAGAATGGGCGGCCTGGTGAGGTCCTGGGTTCTGCCTGATGGGAGCCCTTCAAATCTTCATTTTAAGGAGCAGGCCCTAGCCAATCATGTCTTCATTCTGATCAGGTGAATAGAGTGTTTGAGGCAGATGGGGCAGGCAGGATGCAGGACATGACCAGCCGGAAAGTGCTCATAAATCACAATCAGACCTCAAGAAGAGAGATGCATTGACACCCTCCACAGTGGGCTTATCTGCGTGCATTCACAAAGCACCTCTCGACTACCTGACATTGCAGCCTTTCCAGAGCAGTGCGCCCCTTTCCCCTTTCCTGCTTCCTTGGCTTATTTGTATGGACTAGGGGACATTCTGAAACAGCACTCCCCTCTCCTGTTCCCCCCCCCCCCCATTTTCTTAACTGTAGTAGCTCCATCCTCCCTTTATGCTGTTAAACTGTATATAGACCAGGCATATAACCTGGCTTAGGACTCTGTCACCCATGGGGATCAAGGTCTGCTGCTGCTCTGCCTCCCTGGGCTTGTCACCTTTTATTTGACTTGGAGATGGGCTTTAAGTGAATTCTTTCAGGACAGATACCATGACTCACAAGCTGATTCTTCATCACTTCCTCTCCATACCACACTCCTTACTCTCCAGGTACTTTCTGAATGGTACCTTTCTCTCTTCCCCCCTCCTCCACCCCCCCCATTCTTTTTTTCTTTTTTTTTTGCTTTTTGGTGAGGCAATTGGGGTTAAGTGACTTGCCTAGGGTCACACAGCTACTAAGTGTCAAGTGTCTGAGGCTGGATTTGAACTCAAGTTCTCCTGACTCCCTGGCTGGAGCTCCATCTACTGCACCACCTAGCTGCCCCACCCCGTCCATTCTTTCTGTGTTGTTTCCCTCCACCAGAATGTAAGCTCCCAGAAGTCAGGGGCCATCTTTCTTCTGGTATTTGTATTCCCAGAGTTTAGCACTGTGTGTTCAAATCCTGCCTCAAACACTTACTAGCTATGTGACCCTGGGCAAGTCACTTAACCTTGTTGGCTTCAATTTCTTCATTTGTAAAATGAGCTGGAGAGGGAAATGGCAAACCATTCTAGTATCTTTACTAAGGAAACTCAAATGGAGTCCAGAAGAAAAACCAAGGAACTGAAGAGCTTTAAGGGGGGGGAAGGTCACAGATGGCTCCAGAAACTGGGAGGAAAGGTGGTGAGGTTGTGTAATTCGAATTTTGACCCTTGACACTTCCAGTGAAGTGGTGGGGACAGCTCACACTGGCTCTTGTGAACCCATTGTCATATTTACCCATCTAAAATCAGAAAATGCTATAATTCCAGGCTGGATTTATTGTTTTGTTGATTGTCTAGACTTTAAGAAAGTATTAGAAACAATGTTACTAATACAGATTAAATTTAAGAATGAGTCCTGGATACATTTGCTTGTTTGTTTTTGTTTTCCAGAGAGGTTGTTATTACACATTTACTAGCCTTTCCATGCTGAATGAATAGTTGCTCAGACCTGTCTTTAGCCTTTAGGGATACAATCTAAATTTTTTTTCAAATATCTCTAAGACAAATTCTGACAAGGAAGTTTGTTAAGTAATCCTTGGCCCCAGTTTCCCTGGAGTGCCCTTTGACCAAATTCTTTTTGTATTAAAGGATAGGCCTGGGATCTGATTAGGCATAACCAGAAGGCTGTGCAGAGGGAATGATGTGGAAGACGTCCCTGCTGCCCAAGATCCTGACTTTGGGGGTCCTGGGCCTCCTGATTCAAGCCCCAGGTGAGCAGCTCTGCCAAGCTGACCCAGAGTAGGGAATGATTAGGGGGGGACATGGGAGGAGTCCTTTGATTTTCCCATCGGAGATATGGGGCTTGTGCATTATCTATTCTCTTGTTGCCTTCACTGACTGCTTGGGTGGGTGGGCTGGAGGTGAAGGATTATTGCTAGTTTTATTTCAGGGGGCGAAACTCAGTTTGCTGATGAGAAAATGATGTCCTCTCCATGTGTGTTATGTCCAAAAACTCTTCTATCAGCTGCTGATGGGATGGGGAGAGAGGGAAAGCTGAGTCATTTTCAAGGAGGTAGAGATGAGTGAGGATTAGGGAAGGATATTTTTACAGACTGGAAATAGTAGCTCTGCATTTGCATGAGAAAATGTGGCACAGCTTAATTTTTTATTTTCTCTTTCTTTCTTTCTTCCTTCTTTCCTTTTTTTTGTTTTTTGTTTTTTTTTTGGTAAATAGTATTTTTTTCCAATTACATGTAAAGATAGTTTTCAACATTCATTTTTTATAAGATTTTGAATTTCAAATTTATTTTCTCCCTTCTTTCCTCTCATCCTCTCTCCCTAAGGTGGTAAGCAATTTGATACAGGTTATACATGTACAATCATGTAAACATAGTTCTACATTAGTCATGTGTTGACAGAAGAAACAACAAAAGGGAACAGCCAAACAAAAGAAGTGAAAATAGTATGCTTCAATCTGCATTCCAACTCCATATTCTTTCTCTGGATGTGGATAGTATTTTCCATCATGAGTCTTTTGGAGATGTCTTGGATCATTGTATTGCTGAAAAGAGCTGACTCATTCATAGTTGATCATTGCACAATGTTGCCGATACTGTGTACAATATTTTCCTGTTTCTGTTTACTTCACTCAGCATCAGTTTGTCTAAATCTTCCCAAGTTTTTCTGAAATTAACCCACTCATCATTTCTTACAGCACAATATTATTCTATTACATTCACATATCATAACTTGTTCAGCCATTCCCTAATTGGAGGGAATTCCCTCAAATTCTAATTCTTTGCCACCACAAAAAGAGCTGCTATAAACATTTTTGTACATGTAGGTCTTTTCCCCTTTTTTATGATCTCTTTGGGATACAAACCTAGTACTGGTACTGCTGGATTACAGGGTATGCATAGTTTGATTGCCCTTTAGGCATAGTTCCAAATGGTTCTCCAGAATGGTTGGATCAGTTTATAACTCCACCAACAGTGCATTCGTATATCAATTTCCCCACATCTTCTCCAGAATTTATCATTTTTCTTTTCTGTCATATTAGCCAATCTGATAGGTGTGAGGTGGTACCTCATAGTTGGTTTAATTTGCATTTTTCTAATCAATAGTGATTAAGAGCATTTTTTCATATGACTATAGATAGCTTTAATTTCTTCATCTGAAAACAGCCTGTTCATATCCTTTGACCATTTATCAGTTGGGGAATGACTTGTATTCTTATAACTTTGAGTCAGTTCTCTATGTATTTGAGAAATGAGGCCTTTATCAGAAACACTTGTAAAAATTGTTTCCCAGCTTTCTGCTTTCCTTCTAATCTTGGTTGGGTTGGTTTTGTTTGTGCAAACCCTTTTCAGTTTAATGTAGTCCAAAAGATCCATTTTGCATTTCATAATGTTCTCTAACTCTTGTCTGGTCACAAATTCTTCCCTTCTTCATAGATCTGAAAGGTAAGTTATTCCTTGCTCTCCTAACTTGTTTATGGTATCCCCCTTTATGTCTAAACCATGTACCCATTTTGAACTTATCTTGGTATATGGTGTGAGTTGTTGGTCTATGCCTAGTTTCTGACATACTATTTTCCAGTTTTCTCAGCAGTTTTTGTCAAAAAGTGAGTTCTTATCCAAGAATCTGGTAGCTTTGGGTTATTTCTTTATTTTCATCCTCCCAAACCACTATGATTATAGAGGAGAAACTGAAGCCCAGCTGATGTATGTTAAAGTCACTCCCAGGCATTTTATATTGGGTTATACTTTGATCTCCTTTGATAAAAGGGGAGTGCCAATCTTTCAGAGGCACACCTGACCGTTGTCCTTCTGATCCAGGCAGAGCGTGGCCATGTGCCCTGACATTTCAGCAGTGTCTAGCTCTTGGACTCTATGATGGAGAGCTGGGAGGAATCTTAAGGACCATTGAATTCAATGTCCTTTTCCCATTTAATCAAAGAGGGGAAACAGGCTTAGGGAAGGAAAGGAATTGTTATAAGTTCACAGAGGCAGTAAATGGGAGAGCTATGATTTGAACCCCTATCCTCTGAACCCAAATGCAGTCATCTGTGCATCCAACCTTATCACCTACTACTCTATTCACATTTGTTGTGTTGTTCAGTCATATCTGACTCTTGGTGACCCCATTTGGGGTTTTCTTGTCAAAGATACTGGAGTTGGTTTGCCATTTCCTTCTCCAGTTCATTCTATAGATGAGGAGGAAACTGAGGGCAAACAGGCGAAGTGACTTGCCCAGGGTCACACAGCTAGTAAATATCTGAGGCTGAATTGGAACTCAGGAAGATGAGTCTTCCTGACACATATTGTAACCAATTGTAACTACTTTCCCTCTGACTTTCTTCTCCTGCAGTCTTCTGTCTCTCTTCTTTGTCTACTGTTTTTCCCATGCCAAGAAAACACTTCCCCCAGTCTAGTTCTTTTGAAGACTCTTCATTAAAGACCCAGCTTGGGCATGGTCATTGTTCTCTAGGAGAATGGAAATTCCTGCCATTTTATCCTCAATTCAGAGCTGAGGGCATTGCCCATAGTAGATGCTCCTTAAGTCTTTGCTCAGTTGAGTCATACTAATAAACTCTGGCACTGATTTTTAGTTCTGTGCTTTCCTAAGCTGGGCCGGGGTGAGATTGTTGGGGAGCAGTGGCTTTGATCTTGAGACTCAGGTTCCCCAAAGCTGGACAGCTCCTGAGTCAGTGGCAGAGCTGTCTCAAAGTGTGCATGGCCCTTCTCTGGAGTAAATTCCCCATTGTTAAAGATCTTTAAGGGAAATGAAAAGAATCATGGAAGAAATAGGAGGAAGCTTGAATTCCAATCTAATGAAAAAACGGTCGTGGTGGGGGATGCAGAGGGTGCATTTGGACATCATTTCAGCCTCTGTCCCTGGGGATTTCTCTCCCTTTTGTTCACAGGGCATCATGCAGATGACCTCATCAGGACCACTGAGTCTGGACAGATCCAAGGGACTCAAATCAGAATGAAGGGGATTGACAAAGTTGTCAATGTTTTTCTGGGAATCCCCTTTGCCAAACCCCCTGTAGGGGCCCTGAGGTTTTCTCCTCCACAACCACCAGATTCCTGGAGCAATGTGAGAGATGCAACTTCTCATCCACCCATGTAAGCACTTTTCTCTCTCCTTTTCTTACCAGATGAGCAGAGGGCATCATCATGTCTTATCCAAATTTTGTCTCTGTATGCTCTGCACATAGCAGACATTTAAAAATATATTAATAATTAATAATAATTTAATCAATTAAAACAATAAATAATAATTAAAAATAAATAAATAAAAAATAATAGCACCTGCCTCTCAAGGCTTTTGTGAGGGTCAAATGAAATCTTATTTGTAAAGTTCTTTACAGACTTCAAAGTAGGGGCAGCTAGGTGGCGCAGTGGATAGAGCACTGGTCCTGAAATCAGGAGGACCTGAGTTCAAATGCGGCCTCAGACCAAACATTTGACACATACTAGCTGTGTAACCTTGGGCAAGTCACTTAACCCTGATTGCCTCACTAAAAAAACCCAAAAAAACAACAACTTCAAAGTAGTCTGTTATTATTATCCCTATGTGATTGTATTCAGATCTGTCATCTCTATTGTTTTCCAAGTGTTTGCAGGATATCACTCTCCCAGAAAAAATGGCAAGGCTCATGAACTTGAACATCTCTGTTCCTGCCAATTCTGAAGACTGCTTGTACCTCAATATCTATGTTCCTGACCACGCAAAGGAGGGGGCCAGATTGCCAGTAAGCCAGATCTCTGTTACTTCCATGGTGGGGGATGAGAATCCCAGCCAACGAAACTGGGTGGGACCTTTGAGGTCACTTTGTCCCACCAGCATGGAAGTAGTCACCGTCTCTTAATATCTTTGATAAGTCATCTAGCCTTCCCTGAAGTTGTCCAGGTCAGGAAGCTCACTACTTCTCAAGGCAATACACTCTATTCTCGGGCACCAACTCACATTGACATTGTTAGTGAATATTTGCTTTTATGAGACGGAAATCTGCCTCCTTATTACTTCAAGGCATGCAGGTGTCACAGTGGATAAAGTACCAGGCCTGGGGTCAGGAAGATTCATTTTCTTGAGTTCAAATCTGGCCTCAGACACTTACAAGCTGTGTGACCCTGGGAAAGTCACTTCATCCTGTTTGCCTTAGTTTCCTCATCTGTAAAATGAGCTGGAGAAGAAAATGGCAAACCACCCCAGAGTCTCTGCCAAGAAAACCCCAAATAGGGTCATGGAGAGTTGGGCATCCCTGAAAGTGACTGAAATAACTTCAGGGAGTTTGTTCCATGATCTGAAATGATACTAACTTCTGCTAATGGTTATTATTGCTAAAGGAACAGAGCAAAGCATTGATAAAGTGTGACCTTCCAAACACTTCTTGATCCTATCCAGATCTTATTGCTGTAGGGAATTTCACTGTATGAAAACTCTCTCTGTTGATGAGGACAGGCACCTCTTTTGTAACTTAGAGTCTTGACTTGTCTGGTATACTGAGATGCTAAGTAACTTCTTGTGGTCACATATCTCCTATGGGTCCAAGGCAGGACTTGAATTCAGCCCTTCTCACTCCAAAGCTAGGCCTCTATCATTCATGCCAGGCTTCCTTTCTTAAAATAAATGATAGAGAACTAAACTTCTCAAATATTATCTGCCCACGAAGCCTTCTCTGAACCTCAACAAACCAACATTCAACTCAACAACCATTTCTGTAAGCCTGTAGCCCTTCTTCTTAATGCTGGGGATACAAAGAGAGGTGTGGTTTCTCTCACCTTAAGGTTACCTTAACATTATTTTGGATCTCCCTTACAGCGGTTGTCATATATCTTATGACACTTAATACAGACTGTGTTGTTGTTCAGTTGTTTTTCTTTTGTGTCTGATTCTTCATGACCCCATTTGGGATTTTCTTGGCAAAGATACTGGAGTGGTTTGTCACTTCTGTAGTTCATTTTACAGATGAAGAAACTGAGCATAAAAAGGTGAAATGACTTGCCCAGGGTCACATAGGTAGTAAGTGTCTGAGACTGGATCTGAACTCCGAAAGATGAGCCTTCCTAACTCCAGGCCCAGTGCTCTTTCCATTATGCCACCTAGATGCCCCAGTATGGAATACATCAGTTTGTATTATAGTTTTTGGATCCATATCTTTTCCTTGCCCTCTTTTTGACTGAAAGTACTTTGAGGGTAGGTAATTAGTCTTATTCAAAATACTCATCACATAGCCTTGCACATAGTAGGTGCTCAGGAAATGTATTGAATGAATGAATATATCACAAAGCCAGAGCAAGTTCCTAAATATAGGATTATCAGAGTTGTTTTCATAAAAGGATTTTGGTGCTTGGAATACTTCAGGGCTCGGATGATGAGAAAACTGGAGGAAATGCCACCCATGCTGGCCCTGCAAAGGGAAACAAGCAATGAATTTCCATTGCCTCTAGGAGACTAAGGGGCACCTGGAAGGAAGGAGTGAGCTGGGGTATATGCGAGGTTGCCTGCTTCCATGGGGCAGAGAACTTTTGCACAAGAGAAATTGAGCTTGTCTAGGCAAAGGTCAGCAGATCTGAATTCAGATCAGCTCTACTAGAAAGAATCTGATCTTACACTATTCTTCATTGTTTGTTCCCTAAGGGTTTATGTTTTGATTGGAGGTTGGGAGGGGAGATGGGTTAGTAGCAACCAAACCACATAGTACAGTGAAGAGAACATAGGATTTAGAGTGAAAATTCCTGAGGTCAAAGCTCAGGTCTGCCACTTACTAGCTGTACGACCTTCTGCAAGTCACCTAACTTCTCTGGGCCTCAGTTTCCTCATCTATCAAATAGGGCTGTTGCACTAGGCAGTCTCTATAATCCCTTTCATCCCTAAAACCTATGATCCAATGATCCTGCCTGGCATAGAATTCCCAGGTACACAGTCATACACACCTTGATGATCACCTAAGGGAAGGAGGTCCAAAGCAAGTCCACTTGTGTGATGGGCTCCCTGTTCTCTCCATGTACTCAGTTACTCACAGCAAAGTGTGCCCTCCCCATAGCCAGTCCATACTCTGGCATTCTCAGTGCCCAGGATTTGGTCCATGTCATTTGCTCATATGGCTACAATCTGTCTACTTCCCGATCCCCCACAGAATTCCAACCAATCCCTTGCTACATGCCATGGAAAGGAAAGCATCTTCCCATGTGAGCAAAAGCCCCTTCAGCTCCCTGCCCCTCCTAGGCAGGCAGCATCCCAATGCACTGACCAAAGGAACCATACATTAAAAATACCATGGTGTTATCTGAACAGTAACAGGAGATCTTTCTCTTGTAATTTTAAATATAGAGATAATAAAATCTGTTCTTTGCCCAACATTTAACACTTAAAATTGGATAGGGCACTGAGTCTGGAGTCAGGAAGACCTGAGGCCGGATATGGCCTCAGGCACTCACTATCTGTGTCAGCCTGGGTAAATTACATAACCTCTCTTTACCTTAATCCACTGGAGAAGAAAATGGCGAACCACTCCAATAGCATTGCCAAGAAACCCCAATATGGTGTCAGAATGGGTTGGACACAACTCAACAACAACAATATTATGCTTTTAAGGAGTTCATTTGATTTTTAACTCTTACTGGTTCTGGTTTCCTAATGACATATTCTCTCCCCAGTTTAGTCTTGGCTTAAAATTACTGTGGTCCCCTATGCAGGAGTTGGGGAATCCTGTTTGATTTCAGTGACAGAAGATTGAAATGACATCCCTCCCTGCCCCACCCCATCTCCACAGTGCAAACAATGGAAGGGATCAACCACAGGTGGATGGGTAGGAGATGGGTTAAAGTCTTTTAAAGATGAGTTTTAATCAGTTGAAACTTCTCCCTATTAAGTAACTTATAAGAAGCAAAAATAAATAAGTAAATAAATAAAAGACAAAAGGAAAAAAGAAAGACATTAACTTTGTTAACTTGGTTGTGGATTTAAAAGGAATAGCAAGTTGTACAGAGTAGATTTGCAGTTTCATGTGCAACCACTTTTATTTTACTATGTTGTAGAAATGCATGTTTTATTCCATAAATTAAAAAAAATTAAAAAAACCAATCAAAGGCATAGCATAGTATTGGTCCTCTATTCTAGCAGCTTATCTTGACTTTGAGGGAGCAGTTACTGTTACATATAAAGGTTCTCTGGGCCACAGTTGAAATAGTCACAAAATGATGTGACACAAAGAGCTTATTGTCTGTGGTGAATTCTCTATTGTCTGGTGGGTCTGTGTCCCATGGAAGGGAGTCCTGCCTCCTTTCTCTGTTCCAGGGGGAACAAGGATCCTTTAGAAGAGGCTGTTTTGCTCTATGTGTATCTTTGGCAGCAGGAAGAATCAAGGAGCTGATTCTGCCAGGAAGATTCCAAGGAGGATCTGAACTGCCTCTGAGTCAAATCAAGTGGGCTCTTACCTGAGATGTTCTGATGCATATCCTGTCAGCTTTTGATGTACAGTATCTTGATAAGTGAATTCACTTGCATTTGAGCTACTTTATCATGGGTCACAAAATAACAGGATACAGTACTTTCCTGTTGAGCAAGAGAACAGCAGAATTATGCTTGGTGGGATTTGTTGCTGTAAGGAAAATCATGTCTGATCCCTGCAGGTGATGGTGTGGATCCATGGTGGTGGTCTTACCTTGGGCTCTGCTTCCATGTATGATGGTTCGATATTGTCTGCCACCCAGAAAGTGGTAGTGGTCACCATGCAGTACAGGCTGGGCATCCTTGGGTTCTTCAGGTGAGATTTGACCCCAGTTAAATGTGAGTACAAGTATTTTTTTTCCCTGATGAATTCCCAGATCTCTGAGTGGTTGAATGATAATAAACATAAATTCCTGATTAGAAAACATATCTTTTGACTCCCCTTGCCTTCCCCCCAAACTAATCATGATACAGTAGAAAAAGCACTAGATTTGTGGTGAGAGGACACAATTTCAAATTATGGCCCTGCTTCTTATGAACAATATTCACTTCTTCTTTGGACTCAGATTATAGATAGATAGATGGATGGATAGACTAGCAGACAGATAGGTAGGTAGATTAACCATTTATTAAGCACCAGGCACTATACTACATCCTAGGGTTACCAAACAAGAAAACAAGATGGTCCTACTGTCTCGACCTAACTCTGGCTTGCTATACTGCATGGTAATAAAGCTCATGATTACATTAGCTTTCCAAGTACCAATTTTCTATAATATTCTAAAGCTACCTACTCCTTTCACTGTGCTCTCTAGAATGCCTGCTCCATAAGTAACAAACTCGTTTCCATCTTTAACCCTTTCCTTTCTTACCTCTTCTATCTACTTGTCCTTACTAAACCCTGACTTTTTTCTGATGATACAGTTTTCCTGGTGACCATTTCAAGCTCTATTTGTATTTTCATTCATACCTCCATCACAGGAATGCCAAAAAACTCCTTTTTTCCCACTACCATTTCCAGACTCTCTCTCTACCACCATCACTCAACAACTCCTTTGAGGTTCATTCAATCCATATTCATCACCCAATCAAGATTCTAGTAGCTGTTATCTGCCATCCTCATGGGCAGTCTCCTCCCTTTCTCAATGAATTCAGTGCCTTGTTTCTGGTCTTTCTCTCTTTCCTAACTCCCACCTTCATACCAAGGGACTTCAACATTCATCTTGATATTCCCTTCAACATTCTAACTCCTCAGTTCCTCAGTGTATTCATTTCTCATAACTTACTTCTCCATCCCACCTCAGCTAAATACAGAGATGGTACCACCCTTGATTTTACCCTGACTCATGAGTGTTCCACTTCCATGTTTATTAACTATGAAATTCTACCATCTAGTTATAATCTCTTATCATTCCACTAGACTCTCTACCTTGTATCTCCTAACCTTGTTCTTCATCCCCACCTTGACCTTCAATCTCCCTCCCCTCAGTTCTTTCCCAGGCCATCACCCCTGCCTGGTTATACTCTCTTCCCTTCCTTATATTAACTGTTTAGTGAACCACTTCATCTTTATATTGACCCCTTATGCTACGACAAATCTTTCCCTGCTAAACCTCAGCCTTGGATTACTCCCATCATCCACTCCTTTTGCTATTCTTTGCATACTGCTGAATGAAGATAGAGAAAAGCATGACACCATGTAGCCTGTGTCCATACAGGTTAATGTTACATAATGTTAACTGTTATCCTCACTGTGGCAAGGCAATCTTTCTGCACCTCTGTAATCAGTTCACTATCTCATTCACCAGAGTGGCTTTTCTAAACCTTTGCATCCCTCCTCAAACTTCTCATGGCTCCTCCTCTCCTCACCATCTCAACTCAGAACCTTGCTTTCTATTTTGCTGAAAAAAAAATGAGGCCATCCACTGAGCTCCCTCGTATCCCCTCCTCCTTACCTCACATTGATCAGATGCCTTCTGTTACTATCTCCTCCTTTACTTCTGAATTACATGAAAAAAATAGACATTTTCTTCTCTGAGGCTAGGCTTTCTACATGCACAAATGATCACATTCTATCCAGTCTTCTCCAGAAGATTGCCCTTTCTATCATACTCACTTTCACTATTCTTTAATCTCTCACTGTCTCTCTCTATCTCTCTCTCTGTATCTCTCTCTTCCCCCCTCTTTTTCCCCTTCTGCCCCCCACCCCCAGCTGCTTCTGTAATACCTAAAAGCATGCCCATGTCTCTCTTCTGTTCTCAAAAAACCTTACTGGATTCATCCATCCATCCATCCATCTATCCACCCCTATTAGCTATCATCTCATATATCTCCTCCCTTTTATGGCTAGATATTTTGATTCTTTTCTCTTATGCTCTTCACTCTCTCCAGTCTGGCTTCCAATCTCCAGACTAGACCTACAGTATCCCATCTCCAACTATCTCAAAATGTATGTCCCATGTTCGTTATAAACTCAACATTCCTAAAACTGAATTCTTTTTCTTTCTGATCAAGCCCTCCTCTCTTCATAACACCCTTCTTAGTTGTTAAAGGCACCATCATCCTCCCAGTCGCCAAAGCTTGTGATCCAGGTGTCATTGTCCACTACTCACTCTCTTTTCCCATATATCCAATCTGTTACCAAGTCTTATTGACTCTACCCTTGCTACATCTCTCATATACACCCACTTCTCGTGTGTGTGTGTGTGTGTGTGTGTATGTATATGTGGTGTGGTGTGATGTGCTTGTATGTGTGTGCATGTGTGGTTGTGTGTATGTATGTGTGTGTGTATGTATGTATGTATGTGTGTTGCCTTCATTTTTGCCTGCTTGGTGCACCACATGGTAATAAAGCTTATGCTTTTCCTAGCTTCCCCAGGACTAATTTTTTATAAAACCTCATACTGGGGTCCTTCCTCTGGAAGGCCCTAGCAGTGAGGGATATGTGTGGGGAGGGGAGGAGGAAAGGTGAGATCTCTTGAAGGGGGTGGGATTAGAGCTGTCTCAGATTCCTTCAAGGAATTCCATTCATGGGGATAGCCATTGAGAGACTGGGGAGGTAGAGAGTTCTGTGTGAGAACCACAAGGAGGGTAACGTTACTGGATTGAAGAGTTTGTGGAGAGGAGCCTGGCCTCCCACCTCTTTAGTTTTCTCATGCTCCCCCACATTCTCTTCCTCTTTTTTGATCCTTGTGTAAATGACTCCATTGAATCCGTTCATTTTCACTCCTCCTTCTTCTGGCTTCCTTCAGGACTTGGTGCTAATACCATCTTCTGCCAGATGCCTCTCCCTGCCTCCCACTCTGCCAGGGCCTTCCCTCTGGGGTCATCCCCAATCTCTCCTATATAAATCTTCTTTGGGCACAGCTATTTGCATGTTGTCTCCCTCATTAAACTGTAATCTCCTGGAAAGCAGGGACTGTGTTTACCTTTCTTTGTATACCCAGAGCGTGATACAGTGCCTGGCACATAGTAGGTGCTCAGTAAATGTTTCTTGACTTGACTTGACATTCTAATAGGGGAAGATAAAACAGAAGGGGGGGAGGGAGGAGGAAGGGAGAGTGGGGGCAAGGCAGCTGGTGGGGAGGTGGAAGAAATCAGGGAGTAAGCTGGAAGGAAAGAAAGCAGCATGGCAGAGACTCCCCCTGGTAGGCACAGTGAGCCATGGAAAGAGAATGCACTAGGAATCCTTCAGGTAGGGGAATTCAAGATCTGTCTCAGCAATTTACATCTGTAAAATAAGAAGAGCAACAACTACCTTTTGTATGGTCCTTTAAAGCACTTTATCAATTGTGTCTCATTTTATTCTTGCAACAACTCTGAGTGATACATGCCATTATTATCCCCATTTTACTGAAGAGGTAACTGAGGCAGAGGTCTAGGTGACTACCCCATGGTCACTCATCTAGTAGATGAACACTGGTCTTGCCAGGTCTAGGTCCAGCAGTCTATCCACTGCATCATCCAGCTGGAGGAAATGCTCTTTAAATCTCATAATGCTATTAACCTGGTGTTCTTCTTCTGAAGTCTCCAACCTTGTCTAATATCTGGCTTTCAGCACTGGGGATGAGCAAGCACCTGGCAACTGGGGTTACCTGGATCAGGTGGCTGCCCTGAGGTGGGTCCAGAAGAACATTGCCCACTTTGGAGGAGATCCTGGCCGTGTGACCATCTTTGGCGAGTCAGCCGGGGGGATGAGTGTTTCCTCACATGTAAGTGGTAAAGAAATGACCCCAGCCTGAAGGGGGCCTCTTGTAGCCAAAACTAATCTCATACACCTGATTTTTTCTTCCTCTCCTCTTATCCTCCCCCCTCTCAGAACCACTGGGGCTGATGACTTCTTTCTTTAAGGCGGGTACCTGCCCTTGATTTCATTTGGAGGTCCCACTACATTCCCCTGCCCTAGTTCTGACATTGTCTAGGCCCCTTTTCCTCTTGCTTTACTGGAGATAGCACATAAGTTATCCCTTTTAAAAGGCTTATTAACAACTTCAAGTAAGAGTAAAAGAAATATACAGGTTAATGATGTAATAATTCAAGGCCCAGTGAATCCCAGATTTCACCACTGAGGTTCACCTGTTCCCAATGCTGCTCAGAGCCACTCTGTGCCTTCCCAGGTGGAACCAGCTGTGGCTGCAGATCTGCTCTCTCCAGTCTTTGCCAATGAGCCTCTGAGAGCTCAGCATGGCTGGCACTCATATGACAGACATAAAATCCATCAGGGGGCTTAGAGGCAAAGATCTTCTGGCTTGGTAGACCTCCTCCCCCAGGAGTCTGCACATCACTGACAGCTTCCAGGATGTGATAAGGCATGGGAGGAAGACTTCAGTGGAAGGATAATGCTAAAAAAATAGCTGATGGGGAAGTGGCAAATTCCCATGATATAGTGGGAAAAACTGTTGGATTTGATGTCATTTGATCTTAACAACAACACTGGGCTTTCTCATAATCAATAAACAATCAATAAACAATAAAGAATGTGACCTTATAAGGAGGCAGGGCAGAGAAACAGCATTGCTGGGTTACAGAGCACAGGCATCTTATCATGCCCTGGTACTGAACCACCTAGAGAGTGCTGGATCGTGGTCAGGGATACTTAGCCCTCTTTTGTGTCTAACTGTCTTATAGGCCTGGCTGTACCCAAGGACCCCAAGGCCAGGGTCCCATAGGGAGGCTGCTGTTTGGTACTGTGCTATATGGTTAGCTTAGGGGTGTGGCAGGGTAAGTAACAGTCTTGGCTTTCAGATTCCCAGTCTCCTCTGTCTCTGCTAAGCCAGGGGTGTCTGGGCCTCCTCATGACTGCTTCCTCCTCCCCTCTGCTGTGCTTTGCTCCCCCAGGTTCTGTCCCCCATGTCCAAAGGTTGTTTCACAGAGAGATCATGGAGAGTGGTGTGTCCATCTTCCCTGGCTTGATTTCTTCCAGCTCAGAAATGGTTATGAAGGTAAATTCTTTGTACTCTGTTCTTTGCAATCCCTCCTATCCTTCCTTAGGCTTATTGGTCTCCCAACCCCATGGCCTGGTCTCCCATTGGCCTTCTGGCTCTCCTGGGCTATAAGAAGGTGCACTGGAATGCCATTAGATGTTCAAGCTGAAAGTTACCATAGAAATCTTCTAGTCCAACACCTCATTTTACACAGGAGGAAACTGAGGCATAGAGAGGAAGGATTCAGTTCCTGGCTCTGTTTCTTCCTATACCTGTGATTTTAGGTAACACATTTCCCTTCTTTGGGCTTCAGTTTCTTCCTTTGTAAAAGTTGGTTTGATCAGATTTTTTTTAAAGTCCCTTCTAGCTCCAAATTCTATTTTCTGATACTTCCAGAACAGCAGGAAGAGTTCCTTGAGGGGCCCCAGGTTGGAGTTAGATGGAATGATCTGTGAGGTCCCTTCTGTCTCTCTGGTTCTGTCATTCTGTTACTTGTCCAAGGTCACACAATAAGGTGGTGATTGAATTGGGACCAGAACTGAGCTCTCTGAGCCAATGTCAGGGTTCTTTCAATGTACCAGGTTGCATCATATGTCCTTTATAGATATTTAGGTCTTTTCTCCCTGCAAATATGGTAAACTCTTTGGGAGCAGGGACTATGTCTTTGTAACCTGCTCCTGCCCATCTCCATCCCCATTGGCTGGAGCTGAGCCCTGTCCAGAGTAGGTTGATGATTGGAGGACTCACCCCATTTGGGGGTCAGACAGATTCCAGCTCAGTCTCCTTTTCACCATTACCGCATCATCGCCTATAGAAATGATCTTTTGCTAGCTTACTGATAAGTATGAAAAGATTCCTCTATTGTGATACAGGCCAGGGATTCCTCAGTGAGAATATTAACTCTTTGTGGGTGCCTCTTTGCAGGTCATTGCCAATCTGTCTGCTTGTGATGCACACAATTCTGCCTCCATGGTGCAGTGCCTTAGGAGCAAATCTGACAGGGAGATCCTGGCCATTACCAAGGTATGCAAGCTGAGAAGCAAAGGTTCCAGTACCAATAAAAGCTGCTAAAACAGGTTAGCGGAGGGCTGGACACCCAGCCTTTATGAGGTGGGATTGAGGTGAAAATCTGGGGACTGTTACTCTCTTAGCCTCAGTTTCCTCCTACTAACTGGATGATCTTCAAAGACATTTCCACCTCCAATATTCTCGGTCTGAAGATCCCTCCTAGCTCTGATGTTCTGCATACTGGGATCTCTTCTACCTTCAACATTCTGTGCTCTCAACTTTTTTTTGTGTGTATTAAGGTTCCATTCCTTCTACTCTGGACATACTATGTCCTAAGAGTCCTTCCAACATTCTGTGGTCTGGACATTTCAGGTTCTAAGATTCTGAGCTTTTTCATGCTCTAGTCTCACAACCCTTCCCACTCAGACATTCTGTTTGTAGAATCATAGCTTTAAAGCTGGAAGGATCCATTCTAATCTGATTCTAACATTTTGTGTTCCAACATTATTTATTCCAAGTTTCCTTGCACTGTTGATATTGTACTTCAGAAGATTTTTTTTCCAGCTGTAACATTCTATGCTCTAACATTCTATAAGCTGTTATGGAGAATGCAGTTAGGTGGTACAGTGGTTAGAGTGCTGGGAAAACTGACCTGAGTTCAAATTTAGTCTGAGACACTGTCATTTAACCTGTTTGCCTCAAATTCCTTATCTGTAAAATGGGAATAATAAAACACCTATCTCTCAGGGTTGTTGGGGGATCAACTGAGATAATAATTGTAAAGTGCTTATAAATGTTACAATGATGATGATGATGAGATGATGATGATGGTGATGATGATGATGATGATGATGATGATGATGATGATGATGATGATGATGATGATGGCAGTGATGGTGGTGGTAGTGGTGGCAGTCCATTTTAGCTCCAATATTCTGTTCTGTGTAACCTTTCAGATCTAACACCCTATGAGTCTTTAGAAGAAAGAAACAGTTCTGGGAAGACTCTCTCTATCCCCTGTGATTGATAGCTCTCATCTAAATATTCCTTTCATAAAAAGACATTTTGTGTATATTATGTCATTTCAATAATTTTGCATCAGTTATGTATCATTGGTAGTAAAAGTATGATTTCATTCCTGAATTTCAGACTTGGCAATTAGAACCATTGAACGGAAGCAGCAAAAGGTCAGGGAGCCATTTGCTTTTCTATTTGTATCCCCAGAGCCTCGGACAATTTGTGGATTGATGTATTGACTGGTTATTTTACAAAGGAGGAAACTGAGTCCCAGAGGGGTTAAGTGACTTTGCCAAATGTCACACAGCTCATAAATATCAAGACAGTTTCCTGATCCCAGATCTTTAGAACCAAGATCTTTATTCATTACGTCACATTGCTTCCTCAAAGAATTCACTTAACAGTAAGTGTTAGAACCAGATTAAATATTAATACCAGATCTAATTGCATCTAATTGTTCAGTCATCTTCTTTTTCTGTTTTGTTTTGTTTTTAGGCAATTGGGGTTAAGTGACTTGTCCAGGGTCACACAGCTAGTAAGTGTCAAATGTTTGGTCTGAGGCTAGATCTGAACTCAGGTACTCCTGACTTCAGGGCTGGTGCTCTATCCACTGTGCCACCTAGCTGCCCCTCAGTCATCTTTTAGTTGTGCCTGATTCTTCATGACCCCATTTGGGATTTTCTTCGCAAAGATACTGGAGAGGTTTGCCATTTCCTTCTCTAGCTCATTTTACACATGAGGCAACCGAGGCTGACAGGGTTAAGTGACTTGCAGGATCACACAGCTAGTAAGTGTCTGATGCCAGATTTGAACTTAGGAAGATGAGTCTTTCTGACTCCAGGCCCGGTGCTCTGTCCAATGTGCCTCTTAGCTGCCCCTGCATCTAATTACTTTCTCCATTATGCCAAATTGACTGTCCTTCCTTCATTCTGAAAACTATTATGTTTTTAATCCTCATTTGATGACAGTTTCCTCATCTGGAAAATGAGAGAGTTGGACCAGATGATCTTTTGGAGTACTTTTCAGCTCTAAATCTACAATCTTATGAGTATTCTTTGCCAAAGCGCCTGGGAGGTCAAGTTTCATTTTGGTCACAGTAGATGCTAAGGAGATGGGAGAAGAAAGGATTGTGACTTTCAGTCAAACCCAAGCCTGGTATTCAGATACTGAACAGTTTGGTGCCTCCATGGCTTTCCTGCCTTATCTTATATTACCACCCTGTACACACTCTATGCTCCAGCCAAACTCATCTGTCCTCAGTCTTCTAAATGTTCCCTATACTCTCTTACCTGCATGTCTTTGTTCAGGTGTGTCTCATGTCTGTAAAGTTCTCCCTTCTTATTATCATCCTGGTTTATAAAATGCCTTTCTCATAACAATCCATGACATAGGGAGTGCAAGAAGAACCATTATTCCCATTATATAGATGAGTAAACCTCTAAGAAGGTCTCAGTGAATACAGAACGGAGCCTGGAGTCAGGAAGACCTGACTTCAAATCCAGCCTCAGACACCTACTGGCTGTATGACCTTGGGCAAGTCTCTTAACCTCTGCTTGACTTAATCTACTGGAGAAGGAAATGGTAAATCACTCCATTATCTTTACCAAGAAAACCCCATGAATAATATCGGTGTGCTATGGTTCACGGGGTCATGAAGAGTCAGACACAACTGAACAACAATAACAAACCTTCATGGAGCCGAGAGGCAGTGACTTCTCCACTTCTCCACCATTACATGGTCCAGAAACATTAGACCTGGGATTCAAGCCCAGGTGTTTCTCAATATTCAATCCAGTCTTCCTTCCTCCCCCACCTGCTGCTCTCATAGTCCCCCTTTGTCTGTTGAATCCTTCCCCATCCATTAAAGCCCAATTCCAATGCCTCCTTTTAGGAAGCTTTATGGGAAAAGATCTTGACAACAATTTAGTCCAATGCACTCATTTTGTAGGGAAGGAAATTGAAACCAGAGAGATGTCATTTGCTTAAAGTTACAAAGTGCATTAGTGACTGAGCCAGGACTAGAATCCAGATCTACTGACTTTGAGGCCATGGCTCTCCTGCTGTTCATTCCAGAAGCATTTCTGGAGCAGCTTCTGTGTCCAGCCTGGGGGGACACAAAGTTTAGATAAAGGATGGGTCCATGATGGAACTCTCCTTAGGGCAGAGAGTTTTATCCCACACACAGGTAATAGACCTTAAGTCCACAGGGGGTGTCACAAGAACACACAGTGGGAACCCTGAGGATGGAAAGGGTCCTTCTGGCTGCCATATCAGAGAAGGCTTTGTGGAAGATGTGGGAGTTAAATTGGTTTTTGAAGGAAGTGAAGAATTTCAGCAGGTAGCAATGGGGGAAAGGTCATTCTAGCCAAGTGGAAAGAAGTGAGCCAAGGCAGAAAGGTAAGAAAAGGTGGTTGATTTTCAGTGGGGAGCTGGGAATCCATTATTGGCAAAACATAATGTACTTGGCACAGGTCAGAGTTTGCAGAGTATGAGATAAGTCTGGAAAGGTAGAAAAGAGGGCTCCAAATGCCAGACTGAAGTGTTGGGGTTTTTTGTTTGGGTGATGGGGATCAATGGGACTTTTTTTTAATGCAGTGGAGTGTCATGAGCAGATCTGAGATCTGGTGTGTGTGTGCGTGCGTGCGTGCGTGCGTGTGTGTGTGTGTGTGTGTGTGTGTGTGTGTGATAAATTAGAGGGAGTAACAGAGAGGCCAGTTTGGAGACTGTTGCAAGAGTCCAGATAAATGGGGACTGCTAGGTGATGTAGTGGTTAGTGCACCAGCTTTGCAGTCAGGAGGACCTGAGTTGAAATCTGGCCTCAGACACTAGCTGTGTGACCCTGGGCAAGTCACTTAACCTTGATTTCCTCCAAAAAAGAGGAAAAAAAAGAATACAGGTAAGTGATAAAACATATCTGAAATAGGATGGTAACAATGAGAATGATGAGAAAGTAATACATGGAAGGGAGATTTTGGAATTAGACTTGCCTTTTTTTTTCTTTTTTTTCTCCTTTCTTTAGCATTTCAATATAATGCCTGTTGCAGTTGATGGGCAGTTCCTCCCCAAACATCCTGAAGAGTTGCTGCTGCAGGAGAGTTCAACCACATCCCTTCCATTATTGGTGTCAACAACCATGAATGTGGCTGGATGATTCCTGCGGTACGATTCTAGCATGTTCTATTCTGTGCCAGCTTCTTTCTGATCTCAATAGTTTATGCTTCTCTAAAGAATCACAGACCTTCTGAGTAGGTCAGGAGCTTGGTAGCCAAGGAGTCTAAGTTAGAGTCCTTCTATAACTTGCTGAACGAATGGCCATCCAGCTCTTCTTGAAGACCTCCAAGGAGGGAAAACCTCCTGCCTCCTGAGGCAGCTCCTTCCACTTTTAGGCAGCTCTCAGACTTGGACAGGGCACCATGACAGCAAGTGGAAATTTACTCTTTTTCAACTTCTACCTGTTGTTCCCAGCTCTGCCCTGAGGACAAATGACACCAGCTAAATGCCTCTTCCAGGTGACCATCCACCAGATAGTTACAGACAACTATCATGTCTTCCCTTGACCTAAGTTTTTTCTTTAACCAGCAAAGCAAGTTCCCATCCCTATATGGCAAGACCATGACCCACTTCTCAGCTTTTCTATTTTCTGCCTCATATGTGATGCCCAGAACTGAACCAAAGATTCAAGAAACACAGTTATCTCTTCCAAATTGTGGGGATTGGGGGTGCTGCACCCCTACTATCTGGAAAATTCATGTAACATCTTTTGGACTGCCTTTTGTACCAAAGATTAAATTATTATGGTATTAAAGGATAATATATGTTGATGTTATACAGTATTATACATGTTTCATGCATTTCTGAGTTTCTAAACTTTTTCTGTGTCATCTACTCGCCTTTGCCTGTCATCTGCAGTTTCTGCAAAACTCCCTAAAATTCTCATTTAATTTCTCATGCCTACCCACAATGTATTGAAACCATGAAGAGGAAAGTCACGATGTGGAGGAGAAAACTGCAGCTTCCACGGGGCAGAGTACAAAGGGACTATCACCTCCTTATTCTTGCAAGCTGTGCTTCTCTCTCTCTCTCTCTCTCTCTCTCTCTCTCTCTCTCTCTCTCTCTCTCTCTTTTGGCAAGGCAATCAGGGTTAAGTGATCTGCCCAGGGTCGCTCAGCTAGTGAGTGTCATGTGTCTGAGGCTGGATTTGAACTCAAGTCCTCCTGATTCCAGGGCCGGTGCTCTATCCACTGTGCCACCTAGCTGCCCCTAAGCTGTGCCTCTCTTAACGGAGCTCAACATCATGTTGCTTTTTAGGTTGCCATATTACTCTGTTAACTCCTTATGGGCTTGTGGTTCACTACAAGTGGTAGATCTTTTTCAGATAAATTGCAGTCTAACTGTGCCTCCCTTATCTTGAGATCGGAAGACTTTGTCCCTATTAACTTTGATCCTAGTGGCTGTGGTCGGTCTAATATTCTAGCCTGTCAAGTCCTTTTTGTGGATCCTGACTCCACGATATAATACGTCAGCTGGCCTTCCTGACTTTGTATCATGTGTGAATCTGCCTTTTCTAAAATCAGAAAAGTTATCCTGAACAGTCTTTCCTGGAAGAATCAGAAGTGATTCAACCTTTATTATTTTCTCTATGGATGACTCATTCATGTGCAGATCTGTTCAGAATTTCAGGAAAAGAAGCCCAAGAAAGGTCTAGTTTCCTTTTGGTTAAAATATATTCTATAAGTCTTTTTATTTTGTTTTTGTATTTTTAAAATTATTTAATTTTTGGAAGCAATCAGGGTTAAGTGACTTGCCCAAGGTCACACAGCTAGTAAGTGTCTGAGGCTGGATTTGAACGCAGGTCCTCTTGACTCCAGGTCTTATACTCTATCCACTGTGTCACCTAGCTGTTTCAAGTCTCTTTATTTTAAATGAACAATGAATAATACCAGCTGACATTAACACAGCACTTTATAGTTTACAAAAAACTTCTTTCAACATACCTGCTATATATTTTCTATATAAACTTCTTTCTATAAACCTGCTATACAACCCTATCAGCTGGTAGGGACCATTAAGGTGTTTATCCCCATTTTGTATAGGAGAGAACTGAGGCTCCCAGAAAGGAAATGCTGTAACCCCAGTCACACAGCTCCTAGTCTCCTGATGTGAGACCAGATCTCTTTCCTATGGACTTCAGGTCATCGTATCTAAAGGCCATTGGGGCTATATTGATTTTAAATATGTCATGATATTAAAAACCATTTGTCAGCTGCCTCCTTAAACATATGTATGTAAAGTTGATCTATTTACACTAGTCAGAAAATAACCTATATCATTTCTTGAATAATGTATTATATTAAGCATTAGTGAGAGGCCACTAGTCATTATAAAGAAACCATGACCACTGTTTATTATATACTGGGCATTACCCACCATTTTGCTGACCATTTTGCAAAATATCTTGAGAACTGTTCAGTGGTATTGGGCATTATTCAATCTATGGCAATAGTTCCTCCTTAAAGGGTAAAATGACTTCCTTGGATTAGATTTGTTTAAAAAATGCATAAATTTCATAAAGTTCTAAAGACCATTCACAGTGCACCATTTTTCTCTACACAGGAAATGGACATTCCTGGATTTAAAGAAAACATGAATAAAAAAAGTATCCAATCAGCATTGCAAAATCCAATTTTGGTAAGATACCAGTTAATCAAGCTTTTTTTTTTTTTTAAAGCACCTACTATGTAGTAGGCATTGGGCTAGGCAAAGGGACAAAGTGAAATAATCCCTGCACTTGAGGAACTTGCTATGGGGGAGATAACCTGCGCATACAAAAATAGATGGAAAATCTACACAAAGCAAATCTTGGGGCAGGGTAAGGGACTTACAGTGGAGGAGAGAGGAACCAAGAAAGGTGCTCTATAGAAGGTACTGTTTGAGCTGAGTCTCACCAATGCAAAGGCATGGAGATGATAGATGGAACCAGAAGGTTGGCATACCTGGACCACAGAGTGTGAAGAAGGTAATCATGCATAATAAGACAGGAAGGGACCAGGTTGTTAAAAGCTCTAAAAACCAAACAGAAGAGTTTATATTTAATTTTAGAGGTAATGGACATCCATTAGTATTTATTTAGTTTGGGGAGGGGAGTAAATTGCTCAGATCTGTGCTTGGAAAATCACTTTGGAAGATGAGTGGAGGGTAGATTGGAGTGGGGGGAGATCTGAGGCAAAGTGACCAATCAGAAGGCCATTGAAATAGTCCAGGAGAGAGCCAATGAAGGTCCTTCCACCTTCTGACTTTCTTTTTTCATAGCCACAAAGTGGGAAGGGACCTTGGAGACCACATCTCGTTCTATCCTTTCCTTGGGGTGGACAGCCCCTCTTCACCATGCCCAACAAGTAGTTGTCCAGTATCTTCTTGAGGAATTTAACCCTGAAAAGGCAGACCTTGGTGGGGAGATTATAAAGAGGTCTAATGAGGCCCAGGGCTATGAATAGCAGGCAAACTTGTGTGGGCTTATTCCTTGTGGTTGTTTAGTTGATGAGTCATGTCAGACTCTGAGTGACCACTTTTAGGGGTTATCTTGACAAAGATACAGGAGCGGTTTGCAATTTCCTTCTCAAGCTCATTTTACAGAGGAGGAACTGAGGCAAACAAGATTCAGTGACTTGCCTAGGGTCACATAGCTAATACATGTCAAAGGTCAGATTTGAACATAGGTCCTCCAGACTCCAGGGCCAGTGCTTTATCCACTGCACCACCTAGCTCACTTGCTTATTCTGTGGAATTAACCAACAAACATCCCCAAACAATCTACTACCAGGTATGTTCACTTTTCTGTTACCTTCTCTCCTCCTGGGTCTCCTATAGGGTATTCCTCCTCAGCTTGGGCAGTTGATGATGGAAGAGTATTTAAAAGACACTGAGGACCCGAGAGATTACCGAGCTCAATTTCAGGAAATGGTTGGGGACTTGCTCTTTGTTATTCCTTCCCTCAAACTGGCCAAATATCAACACAGTGAGTATGGCATTGACCCTTTTCAGAACCAGTGTAAGAAGGTCTCCTCTCTGGGGCAATGTGTCTGTGTCACCCACACACTCATGCAGAAGGAGGCTCCTGCTTCTGGCTCTGCTATCAAAGCCTCCAGACTAGTTAAACCTCCTTGTTCACCTTCCCTCTTCTTCCCTCATACCCCTACTTTACCCCATCAGGTGTTTGGGGGGGGCAGGACTTTGTGACCATTGTCTATAAATAATAATAAATGATAATAACCCACATTTCTATAAGCAGATGTTATTAACTTTTTTGTGGGTATGCACTTTGGACCCCTTTGGAAGTCCAGGGAAAGTTAAAGATTCCTTCCAGAGATATGTTTTTAAATGTATAAAATAAAATACATAGGATAGAAAACCAATTAGATTGAAATCAATTTATCAAAGTGCTCTACTAAAAATAACTTCAAGAACCTTTGCTAGAGGGTTTTATTGTTATAAAACGCTTTACATCCATTGTACCCCTGGATCCTCACAACACCCTCATCCCAGTGGCTATAGCATGGACCTGGAATCAGGAAAACCTGAGTTCAAATCCAGATTCAGACACCTTCTAGCTGTGTGATCCTGAACAAGTCATTTAACCTTTGTTTGCCTCAGTTTCCTCAATGGAAATTATAATAGCACCTTAGGGTTGTTGTGAGGCTCCAATGAGATAATATTTGTAAAGCACTTAGCACAGTGTCTGGCATGAAGTAGGTGATCTATAAATGCATATTCACAGGGCAGCTAGGTGACACAGTGGATGGAGTGCTGGGCCTGGAGTCAGGAAGACCCTCTTCCAAACTTCAAATCTGGCCCCAAACACTTACTAGCTTTGTGACCTTGGATAAGTCACTTCTATCTCATTGCCTCAGTTTCCTCATCTGTAAAATGAGTTGGGGAAGGAAATGGCAAACCACTCCAGTATTTTTCCGAAGAAAACCTCAAATGAGATCACGGAAAGTCTCCTATGATAGATAAACAACTGAAGAACAAATGTTTATTCTCTTTCCCTCACCTTTCCTCTGGGGGAGACAGGCCAGAGATTATTACCTCTACCATATACTTGAAAAATCAGCTTCAAAGAAGTAAAAAGATTCCCCCAAGGTCTTGTAGTTAATCAATAACATGGCCAGGATTCCAACCCAAGTCCTGTTACACCAGACCCAGCCCTTGTCCTGCATCACAGCATCACTCTTGGGCAGGATTTGTTAAGGGGCTGCCCTCTAGAAGCTTGCCTGTTAATGACCAGTTACCATCGCCCCCCCACCCCAAGGGTGGGAATCAGGCCAGGGGCTCCTGGCATGTGGCCTGGCCCTGTGTTCAGTACGTCATGAACCATGGGCATTTCTTATGTTTGCCTAGGTCCCAGCTCTCCAGTCTACTTTTATGAATTTCAGCACCGACGAAGCACATTTAAGGGCCTCAAGCCAGATTTTGTGAAAGCAGACCATGGTGATGAGCTTCCTTTTGTCTTTGGAATACCTCGTAAGGAATGGAGATTGGATGGAGAGGGAATCTATGGGTCAGGGTCGGGGGCAGAGGGTGCAGAATCCTTGGGGCTCTGGCCTGCCTTCTCCATCATTTACCTTACTTTCTCTGACATCAAAATGAACAATAATACCTTACCTTTTCCCAAAGCACCTTCCCACTCTGGGGAAGACACAAAAATAAATAAGACACAGTGTCTGACTTCTTGGAGTTTACTACCCAGAAGGGAAGATGAGGCACAAACACAAAAAAGACATTTCCACATGTCAATGGACCAATGACTTCATCAATACCCTCATTCTCTCCTCTGGATAGCCCCTGACTGTTATACCATCTGATCCTATGTGATTCTTGCCCTTGTACTTCCATAAATTGTCCACAGAGGATCTGCCCAATGTGCTGGAAGCTTTCCCTCACTTCCTTTCCTTCCTTCACTTTCAGATATTCCTTCCCTTCTTTCCTTCCTTCCTACTTTCCTTCCTTCCTTCCTCCCTCCCTTCTTTCCATCTTTCTCTTCCTTCCTTCTTCCCTCCCTTCTTTCCATCGCTCTCTTCCTTCCTTCCTCCCTTCCTCCTTTTTTCTCCACTTATTCTTGATTCATTTTCTCTACCAGTGCATCCATTTGTTGATTGTTGGACAAAAGTCTCACATTTAGCAATCTTTGCAGTTAATGTTTGTAGATGGTCCCAAATCTATCTTTTTGGAAGTCTTCTCTCCCTATTTTCACCTCTCTGCTCCTGTCCTGTCAGAACTGGAAGGTCAGTTTATAACTTTATCTGTTTCATGACTTGCCATGGCCAATGAATTTACTACCTTATGGGCCAGCTGCTGCTGCTGAGCCTGTCTGCCCTGCCCCAGGCAGGGGTCTTGAATGGCAGGCATTGTCTGGGGCAGGGGCCATATGCAAAAACTTTACAACTACCAGAGCTTGTTCTATGCTGTTGTAGTTTAGAATAATAATAGTTATTGTCATCAATAACATTTATAATAATTATGCCATTGTTATAATTACATATAACAAAACATGTGATTATAAATTTATGAAATAATAAAACTTATTATTATAATATATTGTAATAAGTATATAATAACATGAATATAATAATGATAGCTAGCATTTATGTAACACTTTTATAAGTTTTGTAAAGTTCTCTGTAAATGTTATCTTTTTTTTTTTACCCTCCCAACAACCCTGGGTCACAGGTGCTATTATTATCCCCATTTTTCAAACAAAGAAACAAAGGCAGACAGTGGGTAAGTGACTTGCCCAGGGTCACTCACCTAGTCAGTTGTCTGAGGCTGGATTAGAGCTTGGGTGTTCCTGATTTCCAGTCCAGCTGCACCACTTTGTTTTTGGGCAGAGACTCAGTTATGGAGTCAGACAGATGAGGCCAACAGAAGCCCTGAGAGGTCTTCTAGAAGGGGAGTGACATGATGGAAACTGTGGAAGATCAGTTCAGGGGCCAGAGCAGGACTGACTGAGTGGTTGGGGTTGGGGACTGGAGGAAAGGAGGCTGTTGGGTCTGCATTTTGACCTTAACTAAGATGTTTCTTTTTCTGTTCCTAGTTTTAGCCGAGGCAACAGAAGAGGAAAAGCTCCTGAGCCACAGGATAATGAGCTACTGGGCAAACTTTGCCCGTCACAAGTGAGAAAGCTGCCTTTTGGTTTCCCCATGGTTTCCCTGTGGGGGAGTGCCTGTTCCTAGGCACATAAAAGTTTTCCACTTACACAAAAGTTCCCTGATTGAAATCTGTTCAGGAAAAAAAAAGTTAAATTGAGTTAGAGGCAAGGTCTGGTGAACAAGCGTAGCCCTTCCCCAAGTTCATGGCCTGGGTTAGGGAGGCATTATTCAGGCAGACTCACCCTGCACATGGGCATCTTGAAAGGAATACAAGAAAGATCAGCAACTCTCTTGGCCCTCACCATCACCCTCAAGTCTCAGTTTTTCCCCTTTGAGAAATATTAGGACAGGTGCTAATGGCAAGAGACTTGGATTTGGAGTCTAGTGTTATTATATCTGATTCTTTGTGACCCGATCTGGAGTTTCCTTGGCAGAGATAGTGGAGTGGTTTGCCATTTTCTTTTCCAGCCCATTCTACAGATGAGGAAACAGAGGCAAATAGCTTTAAGTTATTTCCCCAGGGTCAAACAGCTAGTAAGTATCTGAGGCTGGATTTGAACTCAGGTCTTCCTGACTCCTGGCCTAAATCTATCCATTGCACTACCCAGCTGCCCCATTGAAAAGGAATCCAATGATATGAGTTCAAATGGTTGGTTACTTATTCCCTATATGAGTCCTTTCACTCTTTGGACCTTCTACCTCAGGTTCATGAGAAAGGACAACATGAAAGGTGAAGACCAAACTGCTTAAGGATGGGTGACCAAGCTCTCCATGGGTGCTACCACTCTCAGCTGACCCTGACTTTGGGGCCCCTTTCTTGGCTCCAGGCTGGGCTGATGGTGACTTGCTACACTTGCCAATGGAGTGGCCCCTTTCAGTTATAAATGTTTGGTTTTTCCTCCCAGGGACCCAAATGGTGCAGATCTTATTCACTGGCCTGTCTATGACCAGAAGGAAAAGTACCTGGAGCTCAATTTGCAGCTGTCTGTGGGAAAGAGCCTGAGGAAGGATAAGTGGGAGTTCTGGAGCAAGACCTTGCCTGAGAAGATGAAGGAATCACAGCCTGAAAAAGCCCAAGGGGAGTTGTGATCTCTGATCATAGCTGTTTTTGTAATTGTTGCAGACCAAAAACACCCAATCACTTCTTTTGAGTAGTTCCTTGTCCTCAGCTAAAGAATATTGCAGTTTTGAGCTAAATACATTGACTCACACTTATTAGTGCTATGAGATAAGAATTTAAATGATATTCAGAAGGAAAAAATATTAATATTGTGACTATCATATGCCAGCCACTGTTTCAAGGAAACACTTTTACAAGTGTCATCTCATTTGAAAGGGACCTTCCAATTCTGAGACAGTGGGAATCTGATGAGACCAGCCAGTCCACCCTGTCTCTGGAGGAAAAAAACCCTAGTTCACTTCATACATTATAGTGGAGATGGTATTATTTTCTGTCATTGTATCCCTAGGGCACTTGCTAGGGAAAGAATTAATGCTTGATGATTGATTCAATGATTGATTTAGAGCTGGAAAGGATATTAGAAATCATCAAACAAGAATGAACACCAAGGCCCAGAGAAGGGAAAGGACTTGTCCAAGGTGATGCAGACACTAAGTATCCCGGTTCTCTGACTCCAAATCTGAGGCTCTTCTTAGTACACTGAGCTATCGGAGGTCTCTGTCCTCCTTTATCACTTAGCTAGCATTTTCCAGACAACATTTCTTTGAGGAGATAACGTGGTATGCTGAGGGTCCTGAAAACAAAACTTCATGATAATCCTGTAAGTCAAGTGATTCTTTACTTGCAAAGGAGCAGCACAGGGACAGTGGTATCTCTGAGCCCAAACTCACTGTGGTTCTTCTATAGGGTTCCTTTTGAATGGAAAGAAAAATAGCAAAATCAGAGGAAATCTGTACTCTGAGTGGTTATGTTAACAAGACATGTCAAAATAATAATCACTTTTACTAACAGGGATACAGGCAGGAGTGTGCTCGTCAATGTTTAACAATCAGCTCTCTGAAAAACCCACAGAATATCCTTTTAAGTTATATTATTCACGTGATCTCCATCACTTTATTGAGTTCAGAAATCAACGAAACATTGACCCAAACCCTAATTTGTAGTGGATGCCAATTCTGAGGTGTAAATGCCCATGCTGAAAATTTAACAGCCAGTTCTGGTACAAGTTGGCTCCAGTTTGTCCCTGGGATACAGGGATATATGGTACTAAAACATTCTCTCCATTTAGAAAAATCAAATATTGAGCTATTAAAATTTTTTGTCACTAAGAAGCTTCTGATTAAGAAAATGAGACAGTTGATATAGAGTTCAGACAATGAAGTCAGGGTACAGATGATATAGAGTGTAAGGGTAGCTAGGTGGCCAGGTCACCTCACATCGGGACCTTTACAACAGCCTGTGCACTAGTTTCTCTTGCTTCTGTTTTCTTCCCATTCTAGCCCAAACTCTACTCAAATCTGACTGTCAGATATGATAAACTCTAGTGGTTCCTTTTATTTCCCTTAACTTCTAAGATAAAATATAGAACTCTTTGTCTGGTTTTTAAAGACCTTCAGAATTTGGACCCTCCCTACCTTTTCCTGTACTTTGCTCCCTCTCACATACTCTTTGGTCCGGTGACACTGGCCTCCGTGGTGTTCCCAGACCAAGACACTGGATCTCTGGGCTCTGGGCACTTTCTCTGGCTGCCCCCATGCCTAGAATGCTCTCTCTCCTCCTCTGCCCCTCCTGGCTTCCTTCAAGGCTCAGCTAAAATCTCACCTTTTACCAGAAGCCTTTGCTAAGTGCTCCTTAATGCTGGTGCCTTCTTACTGTTGATCATCCCCAATTTGCCTTGCATATATGTTGTTTATCCATAAGTGTTTGCAGCTTGTCTCTTTTCATTAAGTTGTGAGCTCCGTGAAGAGTTTTTTTTTCTACCTCTCTGCATTAGGGAAGGGAAGGGAAGGAAAGAGAAAGAAGGAGCTGCATTGCTCAACTGGAACTGATCTGGTTCCCCAGTGGGGCAGCTTGTATTACTCAGGGATTGTTGTTTGTCCTTCGTTCACAACGAGTACCATGACATCAGAAAGATGATGCCAAGACTTGCAAGCCAATTGGATTTAAATGAGGAAGAACTGTACCAAGTCACCAGCCTCACTTTCTCCTCCAGAGCCATCTGGGTCCAGTGTCTAGATAGAGATAAGAATGACTGGAGATGGTCCTCTCTATATGATAGAGCAAGGTTATAAATCCTAGTCTCCCTTGACTTCAAGACCAGCCCTCTTTCTACACACTGGTTGTTGCTTCTCAGCGGTATAGCACAATATTCCAAAGATGTATTGTGTGAACTATATGCAGAAGATTATGATGGATGGTGGAAGGGATACAAAATTTAGTTGAGAAGCACTTTCCCTCAAGGAGCTTACAATCTAACAGGTGAGTTAGGATACTGAACAAACAACAGACATTTATTATGCACCTACTATGTGCTAGATATTGTGCCGGGAGCCAGGATACAAACACAAAGAATGAAACAATCCTGATTTTCCAGGAGTTTATGTCCTAATGGAGAAATTAATAAGCATTTCTACATAAGTATATGAAGGGAATAAATACAACACCAGCAGAGCTCGCTATAATACATGCTATTAGATAGGACTGGATAGTTTTGGCCACTTTTTCCATGCTAGCTTTGGGCACCTGTAAATGTAACTCAAACACTTTGGGGAAGTTGCCTTTCTCCTCTTTGACCTGCTGAATACCAACTCCTCAAATCCCAGCCAGGAAGAAGTTTGTTGACATCTGTCACCATACAATTCAATTCAATTCAACTCACGGCAACAAATATTTATTAAAACAAACCACTGAATTTAGGGCATCGAGCTAGGACTCGGGGTTACAATGAGAAAGAAAGAAACAGGGAAACAGTGAGGGAGAAAGGAAGGAAGAAAGGAAGAAGGGGAAATAAGAGAAGAAAAGAGAAAGAGAGGAATAAAGCAAGAAAGGGAGAGAAAGAGGAAAAGAGGGGAAGGAAGAAAAACAACAATAGATCCCTGCCCAAGCACTAGGTCGTGGTTATTTTTTGGTCCCTCCTGGCTCAGAGTCAATGTAAATAGTAACTGTTTCTCTTCTGGCCAGCAACCCTGAGGGTTTTCCCCTCCCAGTTTGATTTTTTTTTTTAATTAAAGGGGCCATCCCTTGAATCACTTCTTAAAGAGGCCTATTCACTGAATGGGCGTTACCTCACTCTAAGTGACAACCTGAAAAGACCTTAGCTTAAAAGGGCCAAGGTCTGCATTGCATCCTGGGCCATTTCCAGTCATACTGATGAATATCTGGCCACTGGACCCAGATGGCTCTGGAGGAGAAAGTGAGGCTGGTGACCTTGCACAGCTCTCCCTCACTCAAATCAAAGGTAATTGCAAGTCATGTCATTATCTTCCTGATGTCATGGTCCTCTTAGAGAACAAAGAACAAACAAAACAATTCAATTCCCTGCAACAAGTATTTATTAAGCAATCCGCTGCACTAGAGCATTGAGCTAGGAGCTGGTGACATTATGAGAAAGAAAGAAAGAAAGAAAGAAAGAAAGAAAGAAAGAAAGAAAGA